TGTGTGTGTGTGTGTGTGTGTGCATGTGTGTGTGTGTGTGTGTGTGTGTGTGTGTGTGTGTGTGTGTGCATGTGTGTGTGCCAGCTAGTTCGGTTGGTGGGTACACTTATGCCAGATAGTGTTGGGTCTGTTGCCAACGGGCTCGGCTGCTTGAAGGTGCAATGTTATACCTACCACCTTTGTTGGTTTCAGGGTTCATATACTTTCTATTTGAAGTATACATACCTGTTAACCATGGACTACTTCTGGCTAGATTAACTCTTGTGTAATCATGGTGCTAGTGAAGCTTGTATCAGATCCACTCTGATTTAGCCACCCACACTAGTACCCTGATGCCGTCAATTCTTTTTCTGCACCTTGTCCTCACCCACTTACTGAGGTGTGGTGAGCTGATAAGTGGGATCATTTTCAAGTCCACCCAGAGTTTTGGGGATTTCAGGGGGTGTCAGCCGTTGGGCGGTTCAATAGCCAGTTGAGTCGTCTTTCCAAGATTCCTTTTGAGTCTCTCTTCCCTCTCCCGGGGAACCCACGTGACCAGTTTTGGCAGTGAGCAACAAGTACAAAGTACAAGTGTGTGTGTGTGTGTTTGTGTTTGTGTTTGTGTGTGTGTGTGTGTGTGTGTGTGTGTGTGTGTGTGTGTGTGTGTGTGTGCATGTGTACATGTGTGTGTGTCTTTGTCTGTTTTCAAGGTTCTCAACTCGGTTCAAAATCAGCAGTGTCAGGGACTTCACATATGCTAGTGGTAAGAGCAACAACTGCAACGCCACTAGCAGTGGAAGTTGTAGCAGCAACAGCAGCACCAGAAGCAGTGGAAATGATTGCTGTAACAGGAGCACCAGAAGCAATGGACGTTGTGGCAGCTACAGCAGCACCAGAATCAGTGGAAGTGGTGGCAGCAGCAACACCACAAGCAGCAGCAACACAAGCAGCAGCAACACAAGCAGCAGTGGAAATGGTGGCAGCAACAACAGCAACAGCAGCTCCAGCAGCAGAAGGCATTGTCGGCACAGCATACAACCCGTTTAAAATGAGCAGATTTGTATGTGACATTCAGCCCTGGATCAACACGGTTGATGCGGATCGACTGCGCCATGCAACGATCAAACGATGTCTCATAACTGACAACAAAGTAGTGGACAGACTGAAGAGAATCTTATCATCCAAGGATGGGGGGCAATCTGCCCATAACGAGGAGCTTATAAACCTGCTGACTCCTGGCCGACTGGACGCATACCAAGCACTGTGCGATGTCATTAAGGAACTTGGTTACGAGGACAAGAGCAAAGTTATGCTCTCCATTCTACCAGAACAACAATTCCAGCCAACGGACACAGGTATGTTGTTGCTATGGTTACTTTAGTTTGGTCTTCATGTGGTTGTGGTGACACTGAATCGTGAACCTAAGAAGAAAATGGTCATCAATTCCTCAGCCGTACAAGCTGTGTTGAATGATGTCATCCAGGCGTAAGCCGCTACTTCAAACATAGCTTAATACTTAACCATCGCTATCGCTATGACCAGGGTTATTAGACAGACGGTGGTCCACTGTCAGTTAAGCTATAGTTGTGGTGTAGTTCAAAATCAAATTTTCACCAGTTGTAGTCTTCGGTGTGCTGAGTCGAATGGTCTTGGTCCGAGGAAGCTGAGACACTTCCTCCTCCTTTATTCCCAATCAAACTCGTCACTTCCACCGAAACTGGGTGACTGCACCCTACTAGATGGGGATTTGTATGCAAAATGTCACTAAAAGCGCCGTTTCGTTCTTAACCCTCTCAGTGCCACGGGCGACTTTAGTCGTCCAGAATGAGTACGTGTGTACAAATAAATTCGTATCTCCACTTCTACACACAGGAGAGTTAGAAACGACCACTCCACTTGTTCAAGAAGACCTTGGCTATCGACTCGTCACAACGTTTTGTGTCCATGAGGATAGATATCGCCAGGGCGAAGCCTGAAGCGTGCGCGATCGGACAAACAATTGTCGCGCGTAGAGAACAATGACGTATGCGCATTGCGGGCTTCTCTATTTCTTTCCCGGCAACCCATGCGTATTGGGTATCAAAACATCCAGATTTTCAGTGGCTTTCAGGCCAACTTTGTCCGAATTTACGTGAACTCGCCACTTCCACCGAAATTGGGTGACTGCACCCCACTAGATGGGGATTTGTATGCAAAACGTCGCTAAAAGCGCCATTTCGTTCTTAAAAAAGCACTGATGAATGCGATTGGTCCATATGTTGCAGTCTTTTGGACGCTGATTCGACTGGTTTAGGTCCGAGATGGCTGCGATGCAGCGCTCGGCCCTTATTCCCAATCGAACATGGTTTTAAGTAAGCGGTCAGAACGTGCTAATGCGTACACCAGTCACCTGGTCACCGTGCCTGCAGGCTACAACTTTCACACCAAGGCTCACTCGAGCGACAGGGACGTGTCCAAACAGCGTGTAATGATAGTAGTAGTAGAAGCAGTGCGATCACGCGAGCAGGATGCGTTTTGGTCTTCACTGAATGTTTTTCCTGGTTCGTGTCGAGTGTTGAGATGGCTGCGAAAATTGGAGGGGTCTGCTCCTGAGCTCCCTGATGCTCCCCATCTGATCAGCCAGCAACTGTTTCCTATCCCAAGCGTTTTTATTCCCCAAACATGCGTTTGGTCTTCTCCAAGCCTTTCAAGGTTCTTTTATGTGTTCCAAGTGCACGTACAGTAGCAGAGCAGTAAAAGTTGATGTGCAGTTTAATGTTCCTTGGGAAAAGATAGTAAGATGAAGAGAAAACGAGTAATCACATTTTCATGAAAACCCCTACACACACCATTCTCAAATCAAGTGGTCTATTCGCTGCAAATCACTATTGTCTCGATCAAATTTTCGGCCAGGGGCCATCATCAGGATTGAGGAGAGTTTATCACGTATTGTGTACCTACCACTTTGTTGGTTTCAGGGTTCATATACTTTCTATTTGAAGTATACATACCTGTTGACCATGGACTGCTTCTGGCTAGATTAACTCTTGCGTAATCAATGGTGCTATAGTGAAGCTTTTATCAGATTCACTCTGATTTAGCCACCCACACTAGTAGGAAGTATTACCTTCATTGGGGGCAGGGTAACTGCAGATGGATCCCGGGACGGATACCCTGATGCCGTCAATCCTTTTTCTGCACGTTGTCCTCACCCACTTACCGAGGGTTGGTGAGCCCGTAAGTGGGATCATTTGCAAGTCCACCCTTAATTTGGGGATTTCAAGGGGTGTCGGTCGTTGGGCGGTTTAATAGCCAATTGAGTCCTCTTCCCAAGGCTCCCTCTCCCGGGGAGACCCACGTGACCAATTTTGGCAGTGAGCAAGTACAGTACAGTATGTGTGTGCGCGTGTGTGTGTGTGTGTGTGTGTGTGTGCGCGCGCGCGTGTGTGTGTGTGTGTGTGAATGCGTGTGTGGGTGAGTGTGCCGGCATCCACACGTGTACCGTATTTTACCAGTTGTAAGTCGACCCCGGTTATAGGTCGACCCCCGTATCCAGAGATCTTAATTCTGCTCATTAAAGTATTCACAATACGAAGCACTACTAACCACTCCCTCCTACTAACCACTCCCTCCTACTAACCACTCCCTCCTACTAACCCATCAACAAATCATGTAAGCATTCCTTATTGGAGGGTATAACGTCCCAATCCTTGAAAAAAGGCCAATAAACTGGCAAAAATGTGTACACATGGTGCACTCGTGCATGCAGTGCAGGTCATTTGTTTTGTAAGATACTGATAGTTCCCGGTTATACCGTATTATCTCCAATATCAGCACAGTCTCCAATAATAGCACGTCTCCAATAATAGAACACCTTGGGGCGGCATTCAAAAAATAAAGTGCTCAGTCTCCATTATAAGCACACTGTGTAAATTCATTATCTGTACCGGCGAAAAAACCCTGAAATGTGTGTGTCTGACATGAATTTGGCATGGCAACATGCCTCTGAAATGAGGTTGAAATAATAATGGAACGGTCTCCAATAAAGGAACGTCTCCATTAGGGGTGAAACGAGTATCTATTTTGACCAATCGATCACTCGTTCATAATATTCGATCGAGTATCCGATTATTTCGAGTATTTTATCAAAATCCAAAAGCGCTAGATTTGTGAGTTCTCGAAGAATTCGGGAGAAATTATCTGTGAACATAGAGCGAAAGTCGCTAACGTCTTGTACAGAGTGTAAAGTAAAGATTTTCATAAGTACTTTCATATCTCAGATCATTACTTGCCGTGGTGATCGCATCGTCCAAGTCATAAAATACTGACTCAAAGGCATGCATAAACCATGTACAGTGGACGAGCGGTATAACAAAAGGTTTTTGAAAAATAGAATGCCAATACGAAAAAAAAAAAAAAAAAAAAAAAAAAAAAAAAAAAACGATCGAGTGCAAAATTTCGAATACTCGCTCGTTTGAAATTTTCGAACGAATACTCGAATATTCGAAGTAATCGTTTCACCCCTAGTCTCCATTAATAGCACTGGGCGGAGGTACATTGAAAAAATAAAGGACCGTGCTTATATTAGAGATAATATGGTAAGGCGAATACCGGCTGTTAGTCGACCCCCACCCTTCATCCTTCTAATTTTAGTCGTAAACGGTCAACTTACAACCAGGAAAATACGGTATGCGGCGTGTTGTTGTTTTTGTTTGTGGCAGGTAACCCGTTTGACTTGAAAGACTTTGTGTGTGACATTCAACTACGGCTGCAAAACGTCAACGCTGATTGGCTACTGAACGCTGTAATCAGGAAACACCTCATAACTGATAGCACAGTGATTGATAGACTGAAGAGAATCTTATCATCCAAGGATGGAGGACAGTCTGCTCATAACGAGGAGCTTGTCAAGCTGCTCAGAGCTGGTGGACTTCAGTCTTATCATGATCTCTGTAATGCCATTGAGGAACTTGGGTATGTGGACATACACGAGGCTATGCTCTCGATTCTGCAGGAACAACAGCTACCGCTTCCTCGCACAGGTATGTTGTTTCTATGGTTACTGCAATGTGTTTACTTTGTATGGATACATATTTCTTCAAGCTAGAGACAGTCTAATGTCGTCTAGGTAACGACAAACTACTGACCCTTCGCGACTACGCCACACAGCACAAGGCCAAACAGTTTTGTTGGAGAGAGTATATTTCGTTCTTACTTTGAGGAGACGATTCAGGGATGAATTTATCCTGTATCGCATCGCAGTTTGTGAGGAAAATCGATCAGTACTGCTACTCAAAAGTCACCGTGACTCGCAGAAAACTGCGACACATACAGGCTATCTATGCCTAGCCTGGTCTGCCAAGTAACATGCGTACAGTGCAGTATATGTGGTGCAGGTACTCTCAACCTGCGTGCACATGTATGCTTCAGTTGTTGTTTTTTGCAATTGGGCTTTCAGGTATCACTCTCAAGAAGGACAATGTGGGAAACACCCAACTTTCAAAGAAAAATGCTATTCAAAATCAAAGACTGCTACACAATTGTGATTATCGTATAGCAGAAACTGCTATGCAAAAATATGACAGTAAATTCATCCCTGCGATTGGACAACTGACCAAGACAAATGCCAAAGAAACAACGGACAAATGACAACGAAACCAGGAGAGACAAGGGAATATATCCAGGAAAGCGGTGCAACAAAAAGACCCGAACGGGAAGAGAGGCCAAGACAGCAGATGCCAAATACAATTTCATCGCAAAGGGGACCAGTGAAGGAAGTGCGTACACAGGTGGGGGGGGGGGGGGGGGGCAGAAGACAGTGCAGCAGCATGGAGAACGGGGGAAGCAGCATGTACGACGGAGTGACACAAACGCAGCAGCATGTACAACACCATGGTGGGAATCACCTCGATCTTGAAATGAACTTTTTTTAGCCGTGGCATGCGCATTTATTATAGGTCACATGCCCTGCAGGTAAGTGTTCTATCACGTCCAGTGCGCACTCTTTTTCACCATCACTGGTATGGCACCTGCGTGTGCATCACTAGTAGATCTACAGACACTAGCACTACGTGTAGAGTCTACACAGCTCTTGCAGGTACAATCATGTACTGAGTGTCTCAGCCAGAGCCGCATGTTATCGCTCATGCATGCTTTTAGTTTGCTGACCCCTCAATGTTTCTCCAAGCGCTGCCGCTTGTTCCACGAAGTCATTCTCACCCTAGCTAAGGTAGAACAGTGATGAGGCTTTGAGTGAATGGCTATAAGCACGAGAAATGTGCAGGCTGCAACGCCTGACTGATCTCAGCGAATCGAAAGTACCATTGCAGCGACACCTGCGAAGAAATTGCGTCTAATTCAAAAATTTCAGCTTCCAATAACAGAAAATAGAACTTTGCCGTCACCCTATACTGATGACTGTCGCCTATGTCCGATTCCTTACCTGTGGTACGAGTGCTGGTGAGTAAATACCCTTTTTTTATATCAAAAGTCAAACTGCAACAATTTCGATGATGCGGAGAAAGTAGTATGTTCTGTAAAACATGTAATTTTCGGTGTAACTTTAAAATTTCGGTGATTTCGGTAGAGAAACCAGGCACCTAAATTTAAATTCCTCCTAAAAGGCACTAGAGTATGCACTGTATGTGTAGGGTAGGCTGGTCACCTAATTCTAGATTACACCTGAAACCTGGCAGGCCCCTGGCACCGAAATTTTAATGCACCTAAAATTGCATGTTTTACAGTATCTGATTTGCACAATGTCACATGACATCTCTCTTCTTGTTTTCTGTGTTGTTAGTTGGCAAGTCACTATCAACGGAATGTGAAGATGTGGATGATGTACCTTCACAAGTACTACATGCACAGAAACTACTCAAGGATCAATATTGCCGTGCCAAGGATACCTTTGCTAGTGAAATGCTCCCGGGTGGTGTGGCTCCAACTGTTGAACACGTTCAAGTCAACTTGGTGATGCTGGACAAGTCCAGTCTGAGTAAGGAGTTCGAGCAAAACAACTTTGTTGCATCAAGCTATGATATGTGGAGAGTTGAGCATGCTTTTGCTCATGCTGGTGAGAAGATGACATCAGTTGAATTGGAGTCCCTGGGTAACAACACGATGAAAGACAATACAACACAACAAGGAGACACGCTGGGAACAATGGCGGTAGCCAGTGCAGGATGTGGCAAGACGTTTGTATTTACCAAGGTTGCACCTCTACAATGGGCGATGGGCCAGCTGTGGAAACGCAAGAAACTGGTTGTGGCAAGGGAGCTGCGCCATAAAGATGTGCGTGAGGCTAAGTCACTGAGTGAGATACTTGACTTGGAAGGAATTGGCATCGAGGACAGCTATGACCGTCAAGTTATCTGCGGTTATGTTCGTCAGCATCCTGATTGCCTAACTCTAATTCTAGATGGTGTCGACGAGACCAACCTGTTTGATTTGAGCAGCTTTCTCCATGGGGTAATAAATGGGATTAAACTGTATGGCGCTCATATTCTTGTCACATCGCGGCCCTGTGCCGATGCCTTCAGCCTTTCAGCATTGCCTTTCTATCGACAACATGTCGAACTGGTTGGCTTCCGTCCAGGCGATGTTCAAACCTACATCAACAAAGTCCTCCGACCAGAGAAGGCCAGCGCGCTAATTACTGAAATTGAACGTTCTTCCTATCTGCAGGGGATGATGGCCACACCGTTCATTGCGAAGGAAGTGTGCACCCAGTACTACTGTTCCAATCACGTCCCGCGATGCGTAGCCGATCTCTTTGACCAGATGATAATTCAGATCCTTGAACGCAAAAGTGGGAACAGTTACAAGCAGTGGAGTTCAATACCGAAGCAAAGCCGTAACTTAGTGTTGGAGATTGGAGAGTTTGCGTTCAGGATGCTTGTGAAGAAGCAGCTGATATTTGATGAGAGCGACATCCAGCAGCATTCAGTCAGTCAAGATGCAATGCGGCTTGGTCTTCTTGTTACTGATGAAGAGTCACCTTCCAGGGAGGAACTCAGGCAGTATCGCTTCAGCCACCTGACAGTGCAAGAATACCTAGCTGCCCTCTTTCAAGCGCACCACAAGCCAATGACTAACACCAGGATCACACGACTCGTCGAATGTCTTGGTGCGGAAAGTGCGCACATAAGAACGTTCTGGTTTCTACTGTGTGCCCAGCTGGAAACTGTGCGCCAGGCTGACTGCTTGGTGTATGCATTGCTGACCAAGAAGAAAACAACGCAATGGGATGGGGACATGGACGAGCTTGAGGTACTTCTTTCCGATGAGTTTCCACTCAACTTCATATTGCCAATGTTAGATGTTCTGAACGTTTCATTGAGATGTCAACTTGCAGAGGAACTACTGCGTGTTCGCTTTGGTGGTCATGGTGCAAGTGAGTACATTGAATCAAAGATCAGCAAAGAATGTGCTGTATCTACTACCCACGACGATGTGACATATCTGCGATTTGCTCTGCTTGAATGGCAAAACTCAACTGCTAAAGCCACTACAGACAGTCTTCTGCAGTCTCTGGGAAATGTCAGTCCAGAGCTTCGTCAGCATTGTGAGGATAGTCTTGGTGGACAGTACATGAATACTGATGGCTCAAGTCTACAGGGTGATGTAAGTGAGTCACGTCGGATTCTTGCATACCTGTGCTACTCAGAGCTTGTTAACCATCAGCATCAGAAGATGAACAATTGCCAGATGCCATCTATCAGAGCATTACTTGCTTCCTATGAACTCGTCCTGCATGGCAGTTCACATCCAGCTGAACACCGCGCCATTAATACAGCACTGCAACATCACCCTGATGCTGTACAGAGTGTGGACGTGCGTGAATGGTCATCTCACGACTCAGATCAGTTCCCACGCTCACTAGGTCAGTGTAGTGGAATCAAAAAGCTGTGGGTGGTTAGAGTGAATGACACTGCAGTTTCTGATACGATTCAACAGTGCATTCAGACGTCTCATGAAAGTCTACACTCACTGTGCCTGGCCCAGTGTACTGATAATATCGTGGGCAACGCCATTCCTGCTGTCTCATCCTGTAAACAACTTGAGGACATCGAAGTGGGTCGGTGCGAACCTACACCCATTACTGGAGTTACCATGGCGAATGCACCGTCTGCTATGACAAGTGTCACTTCTATCACCATGACGGAGATAAATGACCCGGGTGTTAGTGCCACCACCCTGTCAACATTAAAAAACCTAACACACCTATCTCTTAGGTACTGCGGCCTAACAGCAAGATCACTACCTGCCATTATCAATGGTCTACAGTGCTTGCCACAGCTGAAGAAGATGTGTCTTGGTGGAAATGACTTGAGTTACATGAATGCAGATTATGCTACCACCCTGCCTTTGGTCAGCCTGCATCTCACACACCTCTATCTTAGTAATTGTCACCTCACAGCAAGATCACTACCTGCCATTACTCCTATTCTACAGTGCTGTTCACAGCTGCAGGTGTTGGATCTAAAGGAAAATGACTTCAGTGACATGACTGCAGATGATGCCACCACCCTGTTTGTGCTCAGCCTATCAGCATGCAACCGTCTCACAGATCTGTGGATCTGTAATTGTGGCCTCACAGCAACAACACTACCTGCCATTACTACTGGTATACAGTGCTGGACACAGCTGGATTGGTTGTACCTCCATAGCAATGACTTCCATGATGTCACTGCCAGCCAGGCTACAGACTTCATTGCAGCTGTGAACAACCACACGAATATCTCTCAGCTCGCCATGTTTTCTGATAAAGAGAGTGAAAATGAAAAGAGTGAAAATGAGCACTACACCCGACTGCTATTACCTCACTCATACCTCAAGGACTTGCTAGATTCAGACCAAGATGTGTGGGGTTCTGATGACAGCAATGACCGCAACAGCAGTAGCAGCTATGACAGCAACAGCAGTAGCAGCTATGACAGCAATGGCAGTAGCAGCTAAGACAGCAACAGCAGTAGCAGCTAGGACAGCAACAGTAGTTGCAGCTATGACAGCAACAGCAGTAGCAGCTAGGACAGCAACAGTA